GGGGGGGGTGTAAATACCTTAAATACTCTAATTATATGTTTATAATTTTATTTGTCACAGTGTCGTAAGACTAAGTTTTGATAGATAACCTGCTATTTTGTGTATATACTTTCAGCTGCGAAGAAAGACTACAGTGATTTTGGCTGTTTTCTTTGTGTAATAATGTCATTTGGGGAGCCTGGAATTATCATCTGCCCTGGTAAAGATGGCCAGCCTGATGAACGCTGTGAACTGAAAGACATCCAAGCGCCATTCACAGGAGACAAATGCAAGAGTTTGGCTACCAAACCAAAGATCTATTTCATCATGGTAAAGTTCAGCAGTTTCATTAAGAAACTTAAGACATATAATAAAAAAAAATAAGTATAAAATTAAAAGTTTCAATATTCAAACCACTCAAACCTCTAATTTTTTTATCCCCCACTTTTGGTAACCAATTTTCTTCAACTCGGTCACAGGGTTAAATGCCTTAAGGGCTCAGCCAAGTTCGATTACCACTTTCAGCGGACTTTATTTGGCAGAGTTATGGCCCCTTGAATAACGAAAAAGCTTCATTATTTGCCGTTTAAGATCATTAACTTTTTTTTCTTCAAGTTTGAAGCTATACATTATGTCTCAACAGCACGATACTCAACATGTTTAAACCTAACCTCAATAATATTAACCTACAATATGTTCTGAAAGTGGGGGATATCAATTCCATGAATGTGCTTGTTACTTTTTGTGATATGGCATGTTTTAACTGTACATAGGATCATGGTCATCTTCTAACTTTAAGCTAAAAGGAAATTTCCCATTTTGCTCCATTGGTAGACTGGGAAGCTGGGAGGGGGGAGGGGTGGGGGGCACTGGTTTGATCCCAGAAGAAAGCACACCACTGTTTTTGCTGTTACAGAAATAAGTCTCACAGCAAGACCTGTTCTTGAGCTCCCATTGACCATGTTAAGAAGACCCGTAGATAATTGTTTAAGGATGGAGTAATTATATCATCACGCTTGATAAAGCACCTGTTGACCATGTTATCTAGTCCCCCTTCCCTTATCTCTTAGGGGTCCCATGAGGCACACACTGTAGTTCAAAGTAATTCAAGAGTACACTACAAACCAGTGGTGATGGCTGCCTGATGATATAATCAGTGTCAGATTCTTGTATTGGCATTTCCCTTCAGGGTCCATTCATGTAATATGGAGAGAGAAAACTTTCATATATTAAATGAGATCCCAGATCATGTGGCTTCAGGAGTTACTAAACCAAGTGAGTCTCAAAACTTTTTAATTAACAAGGAACAATTAAGTATTTCTGATAATACCTTTATATTTTAGTAGTTATCCTGGGCTGTATTGATTCATCATATTATATTGTGATACTTCCCAATAATTGTGTATTGAACTGAATTATTTTGTTTCCTGTATTGCGATACCCTTACAATACTGATGCATTTATTATCAATCTTTCTTTACTAAAATTCTAAAAAGGATATACTCATTGTTTTTCGGATTTCCTTCTGTGAAAATTTGGCCCACTGCGAGAGTATAACCAAATTAAACGATACTAGTTATTAATCATACAAAAATATACTTTGACAGTATTTACTATTTAAGACTATGACATAACTATAAAATCCTGCACACGATCGTTATAAAGTCGACTTTTTAAGCAGATATATGTGTATCATGGTAAATATTTATCGTAGGCATTGTATCGTGATACATATCATATCGTGAGGTATGCGTATGGTATCGTGATACGTTTCATATGGTGAGGTATGCGTATGGTATCGTGATACGTATCATATCGTGAGGTATGCGTATTGTATCGTGATACATATCATATCGAGAGGTATGCGTATGGTATTGTGATACGTTTCATATCGTGAGGTATGCGTATCGTATCGTGATACGTATCATATCGTGAGGTATGCCTATTGTATCGTGATACATATCATATTGTGAGGTATGCGTATTGTATCGTGATACATATCATATCGTGAGGTATGCGTATGGTATCGTGATACGTATCATATCGTGAAATGTTTCATATCGTGAGGTATGCGTATTGTATCGTGATAAGTATCATATCGTGAGGTATGCGTATTGTATCGTGATACATATCATATTGTGAGGTATGCGTATGGTATCGTGATACGTATCATATTGTGAGGTATGCATATTGTATAGTGATACATATCATATTGTGAGGTATGCATATTGTATTGTGATACATATCATATTGTGAGGTATGCATATTGTATCGTGATACATATCATATTGTGAGGTATGCATATTGTATTGTGATACGTATCATATTGTGAGGTATGCATATTGTATCGCGATACGTATCATATCGTGAGGTATGTGTATTGTATCGTGATACATATCATATTGTGAGGTATGCGTATGGTATCGTGATACGTATCATATCGTGAGGTATGCGTATGGTATCGTGATACGTATCATATTGTGAGGTATGCATATTGTATCATGATACGTATCATATCGTGAGGTATGCATATGGTATCGTGATACGTTTCATATCGTGAGGTATGCGTATTGTATCGTGATACGTATCATATCGTGAGGTATGCGTATGGTATCGTGATACGTTTCATATCGTGAGGTATGCGTATGGTATCGTGATACGTATCATATCGTGAGGTATGCCTATTGTATCGTGATACATATCATATCGAGAGGTATGCGTATGGTATCGTGATACGTTTCATATCGTGAGGTATGCGTATCGTATCGTGATACGTATCATATCGTGAGGTATGCCTATTGTATCGTGATACATATCATATCGAGAGGTATGCGTATGGTATCGTGTACCTATCATATCGTGAGGTATGCATATTGTATCGTGATACATATCATATTGTGAGGTATGCATATTGTATCACGATACGTATCATATCGTGAGGTATGCATATTGTATCGTGATACATATATTGTGAGGTATGCGTATTGTATCGCGATACATATCATATTGTGAGGTATGCATATTATATCGTGATACGTATCATATCGTGAGGTATGCCTATTGTATCGTGATACATATCATATCGAGAGGGATGCGTATGGTATCGTGTACCTATCATATCGTGAGGTATGCATATTGTATCGTGATACATATCATATTGTGAGGTATGCATATTATATCGTGATACGTATCATATCGTGAGGTATGCGTATGGTATCGTGATACGTTTCATATCGTGAGGTATGCGTATGGTATCGTGATACGTATCATATTGTGAGGTATGCATATTGTATCGTGATATATATCATATTGTGAGGTATGCGTATTGTATCGCGATACGTATCATATTGTGAGGTATGCATATTATATCGTGATACGTATCATATCGTGAGATATGCATATTGTATCGTGATATGTATCATGTCGTGAGGTATGAATATTGTATTGTGATACGTATCATATCGTGAGGTATGCGTATTGTATCCCGATACATATCATGTTGTGAGGTATGCATATTGTATCGCGATACGTATCATATCGTGAGGTATGCATATTGTATCGTGATACATATCATATTGTGAGGTATGCATATTGTATCCCGATACGTATCATATCGTGAGGTATGCATATTGTCAATAGTTAACTGAAGGTTCATGTAGGGTTCTCATAACTTTTAAAATGATCGTTAAATTTGTTAATATACTATATTTATATTTCAATTGCAGGGCAACGACAATTATGTGAAAAAAGATGTGTCAGAGGGTGGTGCAGGATCGCTACCACTTGTGAAACTGGAAACCAAAAAAATACCACGAGAGTGTAACTTTGTCACTCAATATTCTTCTGAAACTGATCAAGGTGAGATGCTATCAAAATTCTTACTTCAGATACATATAAAAAGTTTGAATCAGTTATTTATGCATATATGATTTCTATGAAGCAGTCTTCAGACTTTTTATGTAGAATAGAAAGGCATAGAGTCATGATATTTGGCTGAAAGAGCCCAAAAAACGTTGTGAATGAAAATTACCTAGACCTACTTTCAAGGTCACAGTGGTCAAATATGTTAAAACATTTCAAATGAATTCTTCTGAAGAACTGAAAGGCATTGAATCATAATAATTGGCTGGAAGCTTTCTAGGATGGGGCCTGACAAAGTTTGCAAATGAAAATGACCTCAACCTTCTTTCAAGGTCACATGGGTCAAATATGCCATACACTCTACATAAGGATAACAAAATTGAATTACGATAAGAAATTTGTAAAACTCAAAACTTTGATTAAAACTTGGAAAAGATTATTGACTCCTATTGCATTTGGTAGGATACATATCATAAAATCATTATCAATTTCACAATTCAATCACCTTTTTATCTCTTTACCAAATCCAGATGACTGTTTTCAAAAAAAAAATGATATAGAGCTTTTCAATTTTCAGTGGAATAGTAAAGTAGATAAAGCTAAAAGAGATTTCATCGTAAAAGATTATATAGAAGGGGGTCTTAAATGTTACATGTACAGTCGTTTATTGACTCGTTAAAGGGGCATAACGGTGAAGTAACTTTATTTTTTGTCTTTTTTTCAAATACTACATAAACATATCAAGTGAGACTCCTTATGGAAAATAACGATCGGATTTGGCTGAAATAGATTCATAAAAATGATTAAATCTAAGAAAATAATCGGTATTTCTGCTGTCTGACCAACGTTTTGTTCAGGGATTTCCCTCTACTAGCGCATGCGCATAGCACACCATTTCTTTGTAAACAAAATGACTGGCCGTGTGAAGTAAGCGAAAGAAAAGTGTTGTACCGTGTCAGCTACGAAACGAAAAGTTGCCAAATGGTCAAAAGATAGCGCAAGGAGTACGTTACGGAATCATTATTGCAGGTGGGCAGTATTCAAAGGAGAAAATAACTGCCGTAGCAGTTAGTACGGTGCATGTATTCTTCCGGATAGCCGGTTAAGCTGAAATGGAATCGACAGAAATGCTAGCGCTGTTTATGTCATGAATAAATATCTAAAACTATTAAGCTCGCTAGTATCTTTGTCTGAGTTTGAACACAGATGAACTTAGTTTAATATGTTAATGGGCATGTATTGGAGAGAGTTTACTTTGTGTTTCTATAATTATACAGTGATTTATGCGAAAGGAAGGGATAAGTGACTGGGTAGTTTGATTTTTCCATGAGGCCCTCCAAGGGATAACTGTTGTGATGGCCCACGGCGTATTTTCTGGGGCACCGAGATACGTGTTATCGAAGTCCGTGGATTTACATAATTTATAATATTACCGGGTTCAATAAAATGGTATGTTTTAATTATATTGCTGAATTAAACGATTATTTTTGTTTTTACATGCAAGATTTAAATTAGTATTAATATGAATACCCGGCCTCCACTGCCCCGGCAACATATAAAAAACAATCAGAAAGGTTTGTCCCTTGGTGTAGGGAAGGTGTTTAGCCACGTACCATCTGTACCGGCCACATTCCGGTACTTAATTCAATATATATTTAAATATATCTACTTTATGTTTATGCCTATTATCATTGTTGACATTTAATTGTAAATGTATGACGGGAGAAGGCTGTGATAAATTGTAAAAACTTGTGTCCAATCCCTTGTTTAATTTTATTGGCAACGCATTTATGTTTAAAGCTAAATAAATTTAAATTCTGAATATTGGCAAGTGTGCAATTTACTACTAATGATGAATAATTATTGTTAAATAAGTTTGAATACAGACTTAGAAATCATATAACTTGGTTTCATAGTGCGGCAAGAAGTTGCATTGCCTGACGGCCCCTTTCTGGGGGCCTCTTTTGAAACCGTTTCATCTCGCTCGCACCACCTGTGTTTACTGCCTAGTCAGGTGACGTTATTGGCGCTATTTTTAGCAGGGCTTTCCCGAACAATTCAAGTGGTCAAACTGGACATTTGGAACGGACTATGAATATGGGGATAGCATGGTAACATAAGTGGAAGTGCATACAATACATACATTCATTAAAAAAAAAACGCCTTTTCACGTGATGTCCCTTTAAAACTTATGTGGGTTAGGAGGTTATATATAAATTCTGGTAAATGGCAAACGATTTTAAAATTACATTGTGATAAATAATTCTGGCAAATTGTAGAACTGATTATATTTCAAAATGTCAAAATCAAACTCAAGATCTATTTTGGGTTGATTTATTGAGGGCATGGAGAAAAATTAATGAAAAATATAAGTCACCTTGCAGTAAGTTCAAAATGCCCATCTTGTACAAGAATAAGGTTAGAATAGAAAAAGAAGTTTATTTTACAGAGTATGGTGCAATAAAGGAATAATCATAATTAATGATCTAATCAAAGACAGAAATACCTTTTACACATTTCAAGAATTCAAACAGATTAATGATATTAATACAAACTTTATAAGATACTACGGTCTAATTACTGCCACTAGAGAGCATATTATACAACAAGATATGTCAAACTTTTCGTAGACATTGCTTGAGATTTCCTCAAGTCTAAGATTTCCCATAGACAATACATTGCTTGAGATTTCCTCAAGTCTAAGATTTCCCATAGACAATACATTGCTTGAGAATTCCTCAAGTCTAAGATTTCCTATAGACAATACATGCTGGAGTTTTTTTTCGCAACTTTGAGATGTTTTATACAAGCTATCCAGGTTAAAGTAATCCTCAGTCAGCTATAAATTTCAGAAGATAATACCAGGTACTTGTTTTTGTTAAACAGGATTCTGGAGTCGGGGAGAAGCTTCTCCATACATCGCAGCTGTCATTGAGGCATTTGAGACCCATGTTTTGAAAGAAAACATGGACATTCTGAAGCTGTTGACCAGAATCAACGGAATAATGGCCAAAGAGGATTCCCTAATTCCATTAGTGACATCACTGTTAACAAAACGCTTTCACTTCCGACCGAAAGTACCGGTTTCTTGAATGAGTCTGCACGTCAGCGCTGTCAGCTGGATCATACCACAGGGGTTGTACAAATCTGGAAAAGGGCTTTAATACATGATGAATTTTGTGAAATATTAATTTCAGTTATTAAGAAATGTTGGAAAGCAATTCAACATAGTTTTTTCCTTGTAGAAAAGATAACTATTAGATGTGATGTTGCCTAATGGATTCAACCCATCACTTCATGAAGGGAAATATTGAATTATTTTGTGGTCTCCACCCATATTTCACTGCTTAATATATCTAATTGTAACATTAATAGCTTTTTGCTATTATATATACTTGTACTCTTATTGAGACAACAAGACTGAATTAAAGACTTGCTTGTTTCCCTTCAATACTGCTTTTACTATGCAACGAAATTTAGAATATGCATGGTAGTATATATGTTATTTTAGAAGTTGAAATATTGCATCAAATTACAGTTAGTCTACCTGTAAATCAAACTTCCATAAATCAAACATCGAAGATTCAAGTTTCTCGATGTGTCAAACTTCGGGCAAAGTCCATTTTCTTCCCATATATAACACTACTGATATTCCATTAATGAATCAAACTTTTGTAAGACACATTTCTCACTGTTTCGAACTTAAATCAAAGGTCCAATCATAAGAAAAACTTTGAAAATTTAAATAAATCAAAGTGAAACAGTTACTTTTACAAGAGCATTGAAATGTCCCAGGGCCATTTAAATACCTAAGCATGCAATCTACCGTGTATAAATAAATGAGAAATATTTTTTCTAGTTACATGAAATTTGGTATAAGTAGATTTCAAGTTAAATTTCTTGTCCTATGTTCTGTCACATAGGATTTACATTCGGTCTTATGCAGCACATACAGGATCGCAATAATGTTTTGAATTTTTCCTGGTGGGGAGTCCCGCAAAGTTCGAAATATCAAAGTTTAAGTAGATGATAATATCTCATCGATAATCTGATATGTTTTCTGGAATACATATGTGTAAGTTTTTGTTTATGTACATCAAATGAATCTTGTAAGGAAAGATTTTACATTAATCATCTTGGTCATTATATCATACAGTTGGACCAAATAACTAATGTTCCTAACACTATTAAAAACATCTGCTTTACAAGCATTTGTTTGACTGAGATTTGTCATATGATAAAACCACTACCTGGTAATTTCTTTTTTTTTCAATAAAAATCACATATCATGAATGCATATATTTCAGTGCAAACTTTTTTGTATGAAAAGTGCTACAAAATATTTTTATTTTAGTGTGCTCTTGTGCTTCTATCCATAATGACATACGTAGGCTTGCAATTATGTGAAAACACCTTTTTTTAATTTACCTAGCTGAGGGCTTTCTGTGCATTTTATGTTATAAAATATATAATCATTAGATAAAAAAAAATCAGCTTGAGTATTTTTCACGTCATTCATGAATGTATGAACATCTAACTTTTGCAGCAAACATATACACTTCCGTACAAATAAATAAATTGCCTTTATACATATAAGAGCTTGCTGCATTTAATATTCGTTCCATTTCTAAGGGAATAACAGTAGATTGTCAATATACGACTGGATTTTAATATTACATAGAAAATATATATACACTATATGGAATTTGATATAAAAAAAAAACTTTATTTAGTACATCATAGAGAATATGTTTGAAGGAAACTGTGTTGTATACAGTGTGCCGCCGTCAATGTTAAACACATGTATCTGATGTCCTTTATGTGTATTTACATTCAACAACAAGGAAGATTCAATTTTCTTTTTTCTGGGTGGGTTCTTTTGGAGCATAGAACGTATCAAACAAGCCATTTCACATAATGGTAGAACAGCAGTTTTTTCATAAACATGAAGATATAGTTATACATCCCTCTAAGGTAAAATTATAGGTTGAAACAGAGACGTATATATTGATTTATTGAGAGAAAAAAATCATTAAACCACAATTTTACTGGTATGTACATTATGAGAAATAACAAAGAAAATTTTTTTCCTGATACAAATATGTAATGTTTCAAAGTCAACATTCTTTTTCTTTTTTTTACACTGACTTTTCCATGAAGTGTGTTTTATGTCTAATTTGCAATTAACTGTTGGCAGTCATATTGACTGTGGATGCCAACTTGCGGTTGTTCTATGTTTTTGCTACAGAAGTCATTATATTTTTAATGCCTCCACCAGGAGTCGAACCAGGGACCTCTGGCTTACTAGTCTTATGCTTTACTGAATGAGCTAAACAGAAATTCTCCCTAGCCAAGTCGGTTGGAAGCGGCTTGTATTTTGCAAGGGTGACACTTTTACAGTGCCAAATACAGTTCAGCAGAAAAGTGATTTCATTGTCCTGCAATAAGCCCACCTGCTTGCTGAGAAAAAACACTGACCTTTTGTCCTATGGCTAGTACCTGGCGACTGCCCAACATAGGTCTCGAACCTGCGACCCAATGATGGAGTGCTAGCTGTAGCAGAATGTCAGACGACTTGACCACTTGGCCACCGCGGCCCCCTTATATGGTGGTATTGTCTTACAGTGACAAAAAGTTTATGAAAGTGGTTGAGAAATTTAAAAAAAATAAAAATAATAAAAACATGTTAATCATAAATATATTCATCAATAATTGTTACCATGCAAATGGAGGTATTTGTTGAAACATCTATTGACTGGTTTTGCTGAATCTAGAAATTTCATAAATTTGTTAGCATGTTTGCTCCTGTCCATCATCATATTGTGGTTAATTGTATAAAAAGGAATTGTTTACCAAAATTAAGAGTTTATTTATTGTTATAGTATTGTATATTTTTGTAAGACTGTAAAGCATGGATTTTGAAGCATGATGAATTTTACATCTACTGTTCTACTGATATTTTGTTTTTTTATTAGTAGTTAAGTTTTCACCAAGTGCTTGAATGGAAACAGTATATATGATGGTATAATACAATGAAGTATGGATTTACCAGAGTAATCACAGACACTAAAAACTAACAGATTAAGAAATATTCAGTTCATTGTTCAAAAACTTACTATGCCTCTTTGTACATATACATGTATAAGCATTTTAATGTCATACATATTTATTAGAATATATATAAGGCCCCTAAAAAATATGCATGATTTTAGGTAACATGACTGAAAAAAAAAAAAATGAGGGTGGGGGGCTTATTAAAGAAATTACAAAATCACCAAACATAGATACTCCGATCAATTGTCAATTGTATTCATTTGTCAATAAAATTTTAGGTCTTTTAGATAAAAATATGGGATTTAAATTTGGCTTTGATACCTGACTATGAAAAAGAGTGGTGTCATAAAGACACTAACGATTTTTGGCACGTTCGGATTTGACTTTTAAGTGCATTGGAGTGAAAGAAAGTTGTTAGGGTTGGAGGTAAGAACTAGGGTCGGTTAGGGTACCTGAAGCATTTATTTCTTTTGTCCTAATCATTATGAGAGTTTTCATGTACATGTACTATGCAAGGGTTGAACTAGAACCCAATATTAGGAAGATGCCAGTAAATGTTGTTGATTTTATCGATCTATCATAACAATCCTACATACCTGCATTAGGGCGAAAGAATGACTGATTTTAAAATTCGTTAAACATACCTCATTGTGAGACTATATTTTAGAGTAAAAATTAATGTTAATCTGAAAAGCATTTTTGAAACGGATCAGTTAAACAAAATTGCCTACCGACAGCTATCTTCGATTTTTGACATTGAAGGTTTGTTAGTACTATTTCTCAGGGATAACTTGAGGGATCTTTCTCAAATTTTATATGTAGGTTGCCTTTGATCCCTCGTTGTCCATGTTATATTTTGAGACTGATCATAAACATAAAATGGCTAAAGGAAAAACTAAACAGAACTTTCTCATATTGCAATGATCAATTCTATATCTTTCACATCAAGTACTGTACTAGTAGATATGTGAAGTGACAAACTCACTTTGAAGTTTGGCTTTCATACACATCAGTATTAAGTTTAGATCAAAAGTTACCTCAAGGTGCATTTACTGTTAACATGACTCGATCAAACAGATTAGAGGATAGAAGAGAAAAGATCGAACTGACAAAGAACTAATGAAGATGGTACAATGGTGGGCGCCAAGATCCCTCTGGGATCTCTTGTTAAAAAATATGTTGAATATGTTGAATTTTTAACCTGATCTCAAGTTCATAAGTGAAAGCTTACAATTCCATTGATATATTGTTTTGTGCGTTCAAACCTGTATACAGAGACCACCTTCAGAAAGACCATGAAGTGGTCTCAGTTTGCAGGTGGTTTCCTAATGCAGGTTCATTAAGTCATTCACCCCTGAAATTTCATATCCAACTATTTGAATTGGAAGAGTTCAAATGTGTCTTCAGGGTTGAATGAGTTTAACATAGGAAAATAACCTTCAACAATGGGAAGTTGTAAAAGAGGTTATCTCTCAGGCAGGTTTGACTGTATGTGAAGAATATCCTACAAATATAACGACAAATGTAACGTCACTTTACATGTCACAAGTTACATGGAAGATAAGATGTTTCAAATGAAGTATTACATTATTGGCTAGATATTTCTATTGATTGCTTTTTGCCATCATAATTGAAAATTTTGTTTCCCTTTTTATATTTTTTAATCTATACATCTAAAGACAGAAAATATATACTGATGCACTGTATATACATTGTATGTTTTGAACTTTTGTTCAAGCTGGGATTTTGTATCTTCTGAGCTATGTAAGGCAATGAATCTGCAGTTGAGCCTTGAATATATTCAGCAACAAGCTGTATTTCAATAAAAGTGGGTATGTTGTGAGGTGACAAGATGGTCAGGACATACTTGTGCAGAAACCGGCCCATCTATGCCCTAAAACAGTGGCTCAAGGATAACGGATAAATTTGTCCCGTTAAACACAGGCCAGAGTTGTGGTGCTTGGATCGAGCAGGCTCAACTGAACATTATTTGCTTACTACATGCAAACTGTGTGTTATAATCATCAGCTGTATTATAAGATTTATTGTTAAATAAAAAGGCAGATCAATATATGTCAAATTAAGATTTAATCATAAGTCCAACTTACCTTAGTGACCATTTCATGTTTTCACTAAACAGACAGACGTAAACATTTCATGTTACCAATATATGTCTCTTTTATTCCTGTGGGAAAAGGTTACAATGCTGTATATATGTGTCAATGTAAGGCGGTTTATAGGTGAACTTTATTATATAGAGAACACTTTATTTCTGTTCTTTCATAGGCTGTTCATGTCATTGTTTTCCTTTTCCCAGGCTATTCATTCTATTGCTTTGTATACATGTAATGATTTTTATATGATTTAGATGAGAAATGTCTTTACTCGCTCTGCTCAATACATTCGCCTTGCTTTGTAGTTTTCATAGATATCAGATTTATCAAATAAACTATGGAACATATTACATGGTCATTTTTGTTTGTCATTTAATTGCCTCGTTGGTTTTCGTATTTTGGTTCTCGGGAAATTGTTATTTGTAGGGTAAAATAAAAATAAAAAATTACGATAGCATCAAGGACCAATGGACCCAGGGACGAAATTGTACCTACAGGTAATAATAATTATTTATTCTTGATATCATATTGAGCATGAATCTTGTTCTACATATGGTCAATATTTACAGCTTTAAGAGATAGATATGGGGAGAAGGTCATAAATCATTCCACATAAAATTGCTTTGCAGATCTCTTAAATTCTAAAAGTAAGGAACAGTATCTAATACGACTCGGTAAAAGATTCCATGTAAGGGGTCCCTGATATCGAAAAGATTTTCTAAAAGTTAGTTTTATGACATGGCAAGTAAAACACAATGGTAGATGACGATCTTGGAGCTAAATTGTTAAGTATCTTGTTCATAAGAACTACTTGGTTATATAGTGCGTGTTTATATAAAATTCTTCTGTAAAAAGATAACCAATTCAGTTTTTAGCTCCACTGGCCCTTATGCCATGATTACTATAAACAACTTCTTCTCAATAACCAAGAGGCTCAGGGTGATGATATTTGGCCATTAGCATGCTGGGAGGAAGGACTACCAAGTTTAGGAAAATGAATGACCTTGACTTAAATTCAAGGTCACAGGGGTCAAATATGTTAAAATCTTTATACAACTTCTTCTGAATAACCAGAAGGCATATGATGATAATATTTGGCCAATTACATACTGACATGAAAGGCTTCTAAGTTTGTTCAAATAAATGTCCTTGACTTCAAGGTTAAAGGGGTCAATTATCTTAAAACACTTTCAAACAACTTCTTCTGAATAACCAAAAGGCCCAGAGTGATGATATTTTGGCCAGTAGCATGCCAGGATGAAGGACTACCAAGTTTGTTAAAGTGAATGACCTTGACTTAAATTCAAGGTCACAGGGGTCAAATATGTTAAAATCTTTTAACAACTACTTCTTAATAACCAGAAAGCACAGGGTAATAATATTTGGCCAGTAGCATGTGGGTATAAATGGCTACCAAATTTGTTCAAATAAATGACCTTGACCTTTATTCAAGGTCACAGGGGTCAAATATGTTCATAATTTTTAAACAACTATTAATGAATAACCTTAAGGCCTAGAATATTGATTTCTGGCCAGCAGCATGCTTGGATAAAGGGCTACCAGGTTTGTTCAAATAAATGACCTTGACTCATATTCAAGGTCACAGGGGTCAAATTTGTTTAAAATCTTTAAACAACTTCTTCTGGGTAACCATAGGACCCAGATTGTTGATATTTGGCCAGTAGCATGCTTGGATTAAGAGCTATCAAACTTTTTTTCATTTTAATGACCTTGAACCACTTTCAAGGTCACATTTGGTCATATGTGTATAAATCTTTTAATAATCTAATCTCAATAAGGAAAAGGTGGTATTTGGCAAGTTGCATGCTGAGATGAAGGGCTTTAAAGGTTGTTCAACGTAATGACCTTTTTCGACTTTCAAGGTGACAGGGGTCAAATGCTTTTAACTGTTTCAACATGCTCTTTTGATTGACTTTATAGTCATAAATACTGATATTTTGCCTGCAGCTTTATTTGAGATCACTTTTAAGGTTACAGGTGCTAGATTAACCCAGGTGAAATCTCCCACTCAAATACTTCAAGTTCATAGATTTGGATGAATACCCATACAATTCCAATTAAGACATTTAAACAGAGTGGTTCACATCACAAGGTTGAATGCTTTTTGAAAATTTTGAAATAAAACACCTGTCAAAATACCTTTGTCTATAGCCTCTTACCAGGTGTTTGTAATGTTTGGGCATTTCATCGAAAAAAAATGAATGGTAAGAAAAATGTTTGACTAACTCGAAATTTATACAAATTAGTTGGACCTAATAGTTAACAAAACGCTTCTTTTCGTAAAAGTGGTATAAGTAGAGGAAATGGATTTATAAAGGAAATATAATAGAGGTTGTCATTAAATTCAATTATCTAGGACTTTTGTTAAGATATATTGCAACCTTTGCAATGAAGCAGCACAACATCGCTGAGCAAGGTAGAGGGCGCTCTTGTCTTTTACTTTTCACTGGTGTTTTTCAGGGAACAAAATTTAATTGTTGAAACTTCATTATCAGAAGCGATGCATATATATATTTTTTGAACAGACTGAGTAAATTAACCATCTTTCATTCTTTCATTTTAAGTAATTTTAATTTCTGCCTTTTGCACAGATAATTTTTTTTTTAGAAAAGGTGCAAGAAAGAGCACTCCGTTTTGTATATGAAGACTTTTCAAACTCATATGAGAATTTACTTGTAAAAGCGAAGATGCCTTCTCTGCAAGAATGAGAACAATGGCAATTGAAACTTTTAGAATTTTAAATAAGCTGTCACCTGTATGTTTACAAGATTTATTAAAGGTAAAACAATCTAAATATTTTTTTCAGATATAATAATATATTGGACATTCCAAATATAAGAACTACAACCAATGGTAAGAAAAGTTTTAAATTTGCTGCTGCTACATTGTGGAACAGTCTTCCGGACCATTTCAGGACGGAAAACAGTTTCTCTTATTTCAAGAGTCTAATGAATACAGTCATGGAATGGTTCAGAATGCCGCTGTTCTGCATGTAGATAAGCTTTTCAGTTAATTTTAATGTGCCTTTGTGTCATTATTGTCCATTTTTATTGCATATGCATTGCTCTGCCATTCTTAGTGCTTGCTTATTTTTATGTGTTCATTCTCTATTTTTAGTTTGCTTGCATGATTTTGTTTTTATGTTGTTGTAAAAATATGCTTGTATGTATTCGGTTAAAAGCTTACAAACTATACCGAATTAAAATAAAACTTTCATATTAATAGAATAAATAGAATGATGCATGACTTGTCATATTTATTTTGTTAGATTCCGGAAATATTGTTCAGGTACCGTTTTTAGTTTAAGCGACACCGGAAGTAAATCTATAATGTCTAAAAACAACACTACGTCTGTTGCGTCAGCTGTTTCGTAACGACGAACGAGTGTCTCGTGTCGGTAAATTGTGGGTAACAGTTAGAAGAAAACATAGAAGATCGAAGGTGACCTATTAAAAAAAGCATTGACTAGTTACCGGAACATGAAATTTACAGGTGGTATTGTGCAGTATTACCGTAATACTGCACAAGGTTTGGTTTCAGAACACAGAGCTACAGTACAACTCTTTACATAGCGCCGTTGCCTCCCCCCCCCCCCCTTATTTTGGAAGGAGACTCCCGATGTTGGACTCTAAAAATTGGTGTTTTCAATCGGTGAATTTGCTTAACTGTTCCTATATTCCAAGATCTAATGATTTCATCTGAAAGAACAACTCATAACATGTCATTTAAAAGGGTTATTTTGTTTCTCGGGTGTACCAGACTTACACATTCTGTAATTTCTGACATACAGATATAGATGTCTGGTGTGGGGCCAGCAGAGGAAATGAAAACATTCCTAATAGGAATAATATAGTCAGAATAAAATATGTGTGTAATATTTATTATTATAATAGTCGATAACGATGGATCTTCAGTGTGAAGTAACTTCCTAAGTTCCTATATCGTACAATGAAAATATCTATATAGTCAATCTCTGATGTCACTGCGAATCGGTACACTATATACACTTCGTGCCCAGTTTCTGTGGCTGTCAATTTATAGCACAAATTCTACTGTGATACCTCTATGGTTAATAAACTCGGAAAAGTATCAGGGGAAAATGTTGACAAATATTTCAAATTGAACTTTTGTATAGATACAGTTTTTTTTAAATGACAATAAAATGTTATGCATATATACAGTCGATATAATATGAAAAGACAAAGCCTGAAAAGAGGATACTGTAGCTTTTGCTAATCCCTGATATTTACTGAATCAGAATATTTTTGTATCATAGATGATTGCAATTGGTATTGAAAATATATTATTGTTTGCTTCAACGTCATCTTTTTTGTTTTGTGCCCATCAAAATCAAGGTAAAGATTTGTTCTTGTTTAAATTATGAAGGTAAAACTGACGCTAAACTAAAACTGACCATAATCGCAGGCTCCAAAATTCTGATTGGTCGCCTGTTTATGGTCAGCTATATATTATATATCTATAAGCTACCTGCTCAATAAAACAGGGATTTGTCGCGGAAAACTGGAAAATATTTATACCTAGTATATTTCAGTTGATTCATTTCTTACTCACTTGACTATTTGTCATGTCCCAACAGTGAACTAGACTCATTTATATAGATGCTAAATCATTTTATTCCATTGAGGTAGTGTCAATTGCTTACACAGACAGTCAGAATAGCCCTTAAAATCTTATTCAAACAGCAACAAGCTTAATACATAAGTATCAATCTCAGGTGTCATCAAGTCACAGGTACTACATACCCTCTTCTGTCAATACACCCAGATTATAATATGGGTAGGTTCCCCTTGGTCTGTAGTTGTGCATGTTTACTTTAGTAAATACATGAAACGGTGCGTTTACTGTTCACATGACTTAATCAAACAAATAAGTGAAAAGAAAAAAAAAGATCAAACTGACAAAGAACTAATTATGAAGATGGTACAATGGTGGGTGCCAAGATCCCTCTTTGATCTCTTGTTTATAATTATTCTCTTGTTTATGTTATTTTACGTTAACTGCTGTTATATTTAGATCACTATACATGTATGTACAATATAGGTACCCATACTTAATTTCTCATGAGACATTTAATGCTACAGAAAATTGTCAATAAAAAATCATGTAAAGAGAAGTTGTTTATTTTATGAAATTTTCATCTTTGATGACGCACCACCTGTCTTCTACTGTATGCATGTCCAGCCATCAACCATCAACATTTTCTGTTTTCAAGTTCTTTAAACCATAAGGCTTAGAGGCATAGATATGAAGTAAACATGCTACCAAGTTTGTTTATATTAATGACCTTGACCCACATTTAAGATCTATCACATGGTATATTTAAATTTTTTGATAACTACTTCTTATAAAGAACCATGATATTAAGTATGATGGTATTTAGTCTATATATAGCTTACTTGGATAAGGGACTACATAGAAGCTTGTTTGATTGAATGACCTTGACCAAATTTCAAAGTTGCTCATCTGCACAATATATCTGGCAACAAGTATTTTGTCTGTTTCAGCATCACCAAGACAGTTCAATATGGGGAAAGGAAAGAATATTTTCGAATGTGGAGAAATCAATGTGTTTGTGTACTTTGTTGTCGCCATGTTTGGTGTTGGATCGTGGGTAGCTGTAAATGGATTGTGGGTAGAACTTCCAGTGATGGTCCCATACCTACCAGAGGGCTGGAAACTGCCATCATATTTGACTGTGATCATCCAACTAGCCAACATTGGACCTCTTCTGGTTACACTTGGGTATATGTGTTACAAAGATTCCCTGAATGAGAAGGCAATAGTGTATCTTATTCTTACAGTTGGAGCGGTGGCGTGTCTACTTCTTGCCTTTTTCTGGAAGGCCACTTCGTTGATTGCTGGAGAGGAACACAGTACAGCATTACTGGTCCTGCAATTTTTCCTTGCCTGTGTTGACTGCACATCATCAGTATTGTTTTTACCCTTCATGTCTCTGTTTCGGGTTGAGTACATGACAGGATATTTTATTGGAGAAGGTTTGAGCGGGTTAATTCCAAGCCTGGTTGCCCTTGCACAGGGAGTGGGGAAGGTGACATGCCAAAATGTCTCCATTGTGAATACGACTACAAATATTTCTCACTACGAAATTCAACCCAATTATCATAATCCATCGTTTCCAGTGGAGGATTTCTTCTTTTTCCTTTTTGCAATGATGATAATTAGCGCAGCAGCGTTTACATTATTGAATTACCTCCCTTACTGCAAGAAAGAACATGTGGTTGAATTCATCATGGATGACAAAATGGAATCGAGTAGCTTAAGCAGTAACAGTCATTACGAACTGTCAAATGATCACGGCACATTTCAGGGTAACACTTATGACAACCCCTCCGAGACGGGTCATTCCAACTCGGAACTAGTTCTGAGCAACAAGAAAAGATCAAGTCTCGCTATATGCACAGATACATATTCCTCGTCTGTTCATTCACTTAGTAAAGCTACCTATTTTTATTATCTGATTCTTATTGCTTGGATCAACGCCTTCAGTAACGGTGTTCTACCTTCTATCCAGACGTATTCCTGTCTCCCTTACGGAAACAATGCCTACCATTTAGCTGTTACCTTGGCAAGTATTGCCAACCCTGTGGCTTGTTTTGCAGCGTTTTTACTACCAGTGGCCACTAGTGTCGTCATAAATGTGCTCACTTTCTTAGGAACATGCTTGGCTGCTTTCATATTGGTTATGGCTGTTCAGAGTCCCACCCCAGTATTGTACGATAGTGAAGCTGGACCAGTGATTGTGGTAAGAAATTTTTGAAACAGCTTCATATGTAAAAGTACATCCGTGCGTCGAAAACCTGTTCAAACTTAACACACACACATATTTAATACAAAGGTTTACAGTTACATGTACAAAGTGTCAGTCTACATTGAAAATTTACACAGTGATTGAAACGAAACTACATATATAATTGATGCAGGTCTATAAATTAATTTTCAAATACACTAGTCAGTTTGGCTAGTAGTTTCAAGTTTTCTTCTAACCCAATATTATTCAAAATGATACTTAATATCAAATTTTTACTTGTTTTCAGAACCACTAGCATGCACAATAGTCCAGCTGGAGATTTCACTAGTCTCAGACTATTGGGCTAGCTACCCTTATAATTATTGTCCAGTCCTGAAATGACTACATCCAGAAAATAAATTGATATTGTTTTTCAATTTGTTCAAAAGTGTTTATATTGTGTCTATGGAGCACGAAACTTGATATTGCTAGTAAGTTAATGCTTGTCTTACAAAGATTATCAAATCTGTAGGCTCAAGCTCAGCATTAATAATAAAGATAGCTCTAGGAAACGTAAAACAAGTTTTCAGATAATGAAGTGTTCTGTTTGGACAGATCATATTCTTAAGTGTCAAGATTGATCATTTTCCGTCAGAAAATGTCGGCTTATACATTTCGGCTAAAAAAGTTTATTTCGGCTAAAAAAGTTTCAGCAAATCTTAACAGACAATTTTATGTGACTGTTCATATCATAAATCATGATCAATGGAAAACTAACTCATTACTTAAAATTGAGTGGTCATTTAGAATGGACCAACAACTATTGCCCAGCTCCCCCCAAAGAAAAAAAGATCCCAGATCTTTATCACCAGAAGTGATGAAACAGTTTAAATAGTTGATTTATATCATTTTCTATATAATACCTGTCAATGACAGGTATCAAGCTCAAATCCCAGGTTTGTAATAAACTGTTACAAATGGAGGTCCTATAGCTACTAGAGAAGACAGCTGTTTTACATTTATCTTAAACAAGTTCTGCCACCATTTGTCCAGTACATTTTGGCATTTTAAAGGTGATTTTATGTATCGAGATAACCATATAGAAGAAAAAAGAGAAATAAAGGAATCGTAAAAAAAAAAGGGAAATTAGGAATCGTAAAGAAAAAAGGAAAATGGGGACCTTGAAATACATTCAGAGTACCCAAGGTTTGTAAATGACGATCACTAAGATTTTTATTGCTTCTTCATCAAATATTTCAATGCATATTGCTAAATCAATATAACATAATGTAAATCAATTACTTTTATTTTCATAATTTCAGATTTTAGCCTGGGTCCTATTTACCACACTGATGACATTTTCAAAAGTTTCCATAGCAACGCTCTTCCGGAAAGAAGGGAAGAAAGCTCTGCTTTGGTGCGGGGCCGTTACCCAGGTGGGATCAGTCATTGGTGCCCTTGTGACATATCAATTGGTCAATGTGTTCACCATTTTTCAAAGTGCTCCAGCATGTCCTTGACCTTGTGAGAGAAGTTTGTAATCAAAAGGTTTTTCATTTACTTAAAAGTATATGTGTGAATATATACAAAGCCACTCCTGTGTAACTTTGTGATAAATACAGAAGTACTTATTGCGTGCCTTATATATGCCTCATAATATTAATAATTATAATTACGGAAAAGAAAGCTATAGATTAGATATATTATGTTTTTTATAAATCATGTTACATATCATCATTCTTAAACTCAGAATCTGTGCAACTCGAAGCATTGTTCAAGAGATTTTTTTTCTATTTTTGCTGACAAATATAATTCTTTCTGCACTTAGGCGAGATGTCATTCCTATGTTTAGTGCTGACTTTTTTTTAAATTTGTTGCAAGATCTCTATTAGTTGAAATGAAAGTTTGTTTGTGGAGTTGGATATACTTTGTACTAGTATTTGGTACCATGACCGGATTAGAACTTGCTAGGAAAAATACTGGTCCATACCCGTTTCCAAATTTATACTGGCAATGTACCACTATCACGTGAGGTGAACTTTAATGAATATTTGGTTAAAAATTGAGAGAGAAAAAAATGAAGAAATGATGTTTGCATTTGAGTAATTCATGTGTGCCACTATCACAGGAAAGGATCAGGAGTCTGTGTTCTCTATTTTTTTACTTTTCACAGAATATAAAAAAAATACCCATACTAAAAACTTAGCACAATCCTTAGAATTATAATAGGTAAAATGAAACTCATAAATTACCCATACTAAAAACTTAGCACAATCCTTATAATAGGTAAAATGAAACTCATAAAATGCTTATTATTCAAACAGTAGAAATAGATAACAAATAGTTCATATAGATCCACATGAGATTGTTTAGTTATATAGTTTATTCAATATTTAGATTTTAGGATTATCATATAATGTATGTCTATAACATTATACAAACACGACCTTGACCAGCTGCTCTATACGTACTGAAAGTGATAATAAATATACTGTCACAATAGTCGTAACCAAAACAACTGTTGCTCTTTGTTTGCTGACTAGGAGAATATGATGGCTTCTAATTTGAATAACAAGTGGTACATATGGAGAATAAATGCCTTTTTAACCCTTTCACCCCTAGGTAACTTTAGTAGACTACATGTACCATACATTTATTTGGATGAGTCCATTATGGTCTACATTGGTGAAAGGGTTGAAGGGACATCACAGTGAAGCATATTTTCATTCATTTTTTTTACAAATACTACATACACATATCAAGTGAGTCTCCTTATGGAACATAACGGTCAATTTGGATTTGGCTTATATGTGTTCATAAAAATTAATAATTTTAAGATAATTATCGGGATTTTTGCCTGTCTGACTAACGTTTTTGTTCAGGGATTTCTCTGCATCACAGCTACTAACGCACGCCCATAGAACACCATTTCATTGTGAACGAAATGACTGGCTGTGGGTAGTGTTAGTGAGTGAAAATCTCGGTCTGACCACCTGTGTTTACTGCCTCGTTTCAAACCGTCACGTGACGTTATCAGTGCCATTTAACAGGGCTTTCCCGAACAATTTAAGTGGTCAAAGTAGCCGTTTGGAATAGATTATGAATATGGGAATAGCAAGGAAACATAATTGGCAGTGCGGACAATACATATATTCAATAACTGAAATATTGGTTTCCGCGGTATGTCCCTTTAATTCAACATCCAAACGTTATGAACATTACATTGAGAGTCCTGTTATGTATATAGGTTAATACATTTTGAATATAACCTCATTTTATCTGTAATGTAATATTTTCAGACCTATATCTGAATATGACAAAGTCTCAAGTGACCTTTTGCAATCGCCTTTTGTCCAGCGGCGTCCGTCGTCCGCCGTGCGTCCGTAAACAATTTATATTTTCGACTTCTACTCCAAAACCCCTGAACCAATTTCAATGAAATTTTGCAGAAACCTTCCATGGCCAAAGGTCAACTAAAATTGTGAATTATATGGTCCCCAGCCCCCAGGGGCCTGAGGGGCCGGGCCGAAAAGGGTAACATTGACTAAAATTTAAAAAATCTTCTTCTCAAGATCCAGATATGGTAGAATCAAATACTCTTCATAGATGTATGGGTCATAAGGTGCTTTACTAAAATTGTGAATTTCTTGACACTGGGGTTTCACGTTTCCCCCTGGGGAGGGGGTAAACTTTACTATAGTTTATATAGGGAAATTACATTTTGGACCAACATTTGTTTAATTGCCATTGGAAGTAATTCAATTGGGGTTAGCATTATCAGTATTGGATAGCAGTTTGATGGTAAGCACATATCAGCCCTGACTGACCCCCCGGGGCTGATGGGTGGGGCCAAAAACGGTTGAATTGACTGAAATTTCAAAATCTTCTTCTCAATACCCAGATATGGTAGAATCAAATACTCTTCATAGATGGAAGGGTCTTAAGGTGCTTTACCAAAATTGTGAATTTCATGACCCTGGGGTCTCACGTTTCCCCCTGGGGAGGGGGTAAACTTTACTATAGTTTATATAGGGAAATCACATTTTGGACCAACATTTNAAATGATTGGAAGTAATTCAATTGGGGTTAGCATTATCAGTATTGAATAGCAGTTTGATGGTAAGCACATATCAGCCCTGACTGACCCCCCGGGGCTGATGGGTGGGGCCAAAAACGGTTGAATTGACTGAAATTTCAAAAATCTTCTTCTCAATACCCAGATATGGTAGAATCAAAAACTCTTCATAGATGGAAGGGTCTTAAGGTGCTTTACCAAAACTGTGAATTTCATGACCCTGGGTCATAAAATATGTTATGGTTGATGATGGCAAATGATACTTTGAATATTACATGTTGATAACTTGATTGGAATTATAACCCTAAGTTGACAGTTTGATACTTTGAAAATTTTGAGCCATCCCCGCCCCCAAGGGCTGTAGGGTGGGGCCCAATGGAGTCTGTGTGTTAAAATAAAATTTCTTCATTTTCCTTGTTTAGAATCAGAGGTGCTAGTTTCAAATACTTTTCAGTATTAAAGCTGCATGCTAGATATTGAATAAGGTGGTTTTATTGTTTTTTGTCACTTTGAATAATATTTCTGTTCATGTTAAAAACAAAAATCAACTCTCTGTATAAATATACCAGGTGACCGTTAAGGCCCATGGGCCTCTTGTTTAAATATAACCACGTATTTATATTTTAAACAGAACAGTTTATGCACATAGAAGCAAAATTTCGAAGATGTCTGCACCAGGTTGCTTAGATTTCAATAATTATTGCAAGACATGAACATTTGACCATCTGCATCACCTTGCCTTAAATAAGAACCTGGTCTACAGTATCAGCAGGCCTAGGCTTGCCAAAATATATACATGTACTGTACTAGTATGACCAGGAATGGTTTTAAGTGGGTTTTTTTATCTTAATTCACATGGGACCAGATTTATTGTGATATCAAATAGATTGTTCATGGTTTTTTGTTTTGTTATTTTGTACTTAGATAATTTAAAGGTTTCAGTTTTATTGTGTTTTGATTGTGTTTATGTGTGTTTGGAATATATTTAACCAGAAATCTGATATTTTATTGTTTTATTTCACATAGAAAACAGGTGGTTAGATAGACTGGCCTCATTAACAAAATTCTCAGATTGTTGTGTAAGTTACATTATGTATAACATAGGACCAAATGTTTCTGGACTTTGATCTGTGGTTTTGAAGAGTAAGGAACAAATTTATTCAAGCATCTCTGACTCATAGTTTTTATTTAATATTATTATAAATGTTATTTACAAAAATATGTGCATTTAAATTGCATTAATTCTTCCACCCTAGGCCTGAAGACACATTTGAACTCTTCCAATACAAAGGATGGAATAGTTCATTATGAAGTTTCAGGGGTGAATGAGTTAAATGATAGACATCATATTAATAAAGATTGTCTGAAATCCTTATTTTTAATTGGAAAATATATTTAATTGCGGTAGCATTGTCAAGCTAAGGTGCGTATAGGTGAATGAGGATGATATGTTTAATATATTACAAATGTACATTATTCTTATATATTTTAACCTCTAATATAAACCTTAAATTACTCTGGCAACATCATGTTTATTTTCCTTCTGAATTCATTTCCGATACATATTATTGTCTAAAAATAAAACAAAAGTGACATGTTTTTTCCTTTTAATAATACACAAGTTTTATTCACAAACCTTTACTACTGAAGGGGATTATTTGGCCCTACATCCATGGCCATCTGTCAGTTAGACTAAGCTACTGCAGTCTACTCCATTTTGTCTATGGCACATTTCAATATTTTTTCTCCAGAGTAATTGCCCTTAATTAACCATGTGTCACATTTTTCGGTGGTATTTCTAAGCACTTTCGAGACTTTCAGAAAATGATTTCCTATTTAGAAATGTAATTGTTGATAGTCAGGGTAAGAAATTGAATCTCTTTATGTTACTTGAGGATAAGCCGTACATTTTCTTCTGAATTATTTAATAGAATTTAACCAATTTATTTTATGATGTTAATATTTATTTTGATGTTTGTTGTTGATTTTCTTTGTTTACTGTACATTTTGTTTTTTGATAATGTTAATTTTTACAACGTGTGTTTTATGATGTCAACTTCACAACATATAATATTTTGGTATTGAACTTTTCTGTATGGATAATACATTTATGTATTTGTCGCTTCAACATAAATGAAAGATGGTAATATCAGTCAGCCTTAGAATGTTACCTCTGTCACTCTCACTATCCATAACGTCATACTTTGGTCTAGTCTATTTTGTACTCATGTGGTCAATATTGTAATGTTATAGGACAAAATTCTCAATATATTTACAATAGCTTATAATGGTACTGATGGCACACCTGCATTGGGTCAGACCAGAAGCCTCAATGCTTCGACATTATCGGCAGATGTAATAGATATGTTACATGTAAAAAAGAGGGAATGACAAATCCAAAATTATTCAATGTGTGTGCAAGTGTGTGTGTGTGTGTGTGTGAGTGAGAGGGGGGCGGGGTGTAGGAGTGTATATATATATATGTCTTGATTAATAATGGTCGGTGTTATAGTAGTTGGAATAACAGGTGAATGGGAGGTGTGTGCAGGGCTTGGAATGGATATTATGTATATGTCTTGATTCTCACAGATAATAATGATTGGTTTGATGAAAGTTGGTATGACAGGTCAATTGGGCAGGTTGGTCGGGTTTGGGATGGGAGTGTGTATGTGTCTTGGATTCTTACTGCTAATAGTGGTCAATAGTGGTCAGTGTGATAGAAGTTCGAGTAACAGGTCAACAGGACAGGTTGATTGGTCAGACTTGGGTGGGAGTGTGTAGGTGTCTTAGATTCTTACTGCTAATATATAGTTGTCAGTGTGAAAGAAGTTAGAGTAACAGGTCAACAGGACAGGTTGATTGGCCAGACTTGGGTGGGAGTGTGTAGGTGTCTTAGATTCTTACTGCTAATATATAGTGGTCGGTGTGATAGAAGTTAGAGTAACAGGTCAACAGGACAGGTTGATTGGCCGGGCTTGGGATGGGAGTGTGTATACTATATGTCTTGATTCTTACTGCTAATAAAGTCAGTGTGGTAAAAGTTGGTTTAAATACATTGGAAATAGACCATACAAATGTTTGCTTCAGATCGCCATTAAACCATACCCAATGGTATCCCTGCAGTCTATGATTTAACTACATCATACATAATGTAATGTATATTAGAAATATTGTGGATACATTCCAAGATGTGTTTCAGTGCTAGGACTGTGATTTTATTTAAATATCATCATTGGTTTAATTATTTTGCTTTTCATAGTGCTGTTTTGTGATATTTCTTAATACTAAAGCATTGTAAGTCAATTATAATTATATTTGTTTGATTATTTATTATTATGCTCAATATTTATGTATCACATATGTAGACTGTGTGTACATAGTGGTACATTATGTGTATTACTCAATACAAAGGCCTGGCCTAGTCTGTCCATGTGTGAATGTTTACGTCACACCTGAGTGATAGAGTGGAAAGTATAAACATCTAGCCCCTGTGACTGTGCGTGTCTCGCGATTATTCTCGTAGACGTATGCGCAGCCACATTTCCTCACAGACCACAACCCCTCATCCTATCACTCACAGCTAGGCCTGAGACCTGGTAAGATAGACTAACCTGGTGATACGTTTCTTTATTATGTATAAATGAAGCCTGCAATTACAATATGAATACTTTTTAAGTCTATGTAATAGACAATTGTAGGTCTTAATATATATTATTAATAACATGAATCCAAATAGAGAGGTTAATAAATAGATAAACACAAATGATAAAAGGAACAATTAATACAATTGTATTTTTTTTTAAATGAAAATTTTAAGATGCAATGAATGATATATCACGAGGTGTACTAAAAGCTTATAATAATAACGTTTAAGAACTGTTTAGCCTTAATTTAGATTTTGTATATCAGCAATATAATTCACAAGATAATTTCTTGGAGAATGATTTATTAACTGCCCGTTTTGCTTTGCATAAATAAGTGGCAAGTCGTTGTCACATCTGAGCACTAACACGATATAAAGCCGAGTTTCCTACTTACTGTAACGTGATGATTATCTCTGCAAAATTATCTTGGAAAATGTAAAAAAAAATATGTAGACAAAATTTAAAACATTATTGCGACTTATTCATAGATTATGTGACATCTGTTCAAAATTATGTCAACACAGGTAGCTCGCAAGTTGAAAGTCAATGGCAGAGATATGCCATCATACAAATACAAAAAGAAATCAACAACATTGTTCAGAGTGTT